GCATTTTGAGCGTTGCCCTTTTTCTTGAGGTAAAGAGCGTCTGCCTTTGCCCGCGCTGGGGTTGGAGCCACTGCTGCGACTTCCTGTCAAAAATGTGAATAACAAAAAATTAATCAGTTTGGCCTTTATTAACTCAGATGAACACACATCATGGGGACATCTGATTCAGAATCAGCTGGTTTCGCAATAGATCACCAAGGAAGAGAAAGGTCACACGATAAACAAAATAACACAGACTGAAACCAGGCCATGGTGACCAACTGCAGACGTAACGACAGGCAGAAGTTTCAATTCGACCAGAAAGACTGACGCACTTTGTTTATGGTGTGACTGATTGTAACAGTGTGCAATTCGGCAAAAAAGAACAAAGGTCAAATGCAAACTAGATGATCTGAAGGGTCAGCCAACCAACCCCGCCCCTCCTCCTCGGCCTCCCCCGAGTTCCACTTGCAGCGAGTAAAAACCATCAACTGAGCTTCATACAAACACTGAAAAATCCACAGAACAGAAATGAACACATGACACACCTGCATCAGAAACACACGGCTGTAGGTTATTAATGTAGCACAGAATCATGAAGGAGATCGACTCCCGTCTTTCTGGTGACGTCACTGATGGAGGTGTATCACACTGTTACAAAATCAAACGTTGGCTTTCCCCATTGAACCCAACAGTACTGGGTAATGTGGTGCATGATCGCCCTCTGCCTGTAAAAATGATAACGCAACCACCGGAGTCATTATCCTGCATCATGCACCTCCTCCCCAGCACAGTACGAATGCATGCCCCTGAGGTGCAGAGAGGGAGAAAGGACCGTCAGGAGAGTCAGACACACGGGACAAATGGACGGAGGCAGACGTATGGAATGGATTTGGCGGTGCAGGGGGTCGGGGGGTAGGATATATTTGTTTTAAAGCTACAGAATAATATTTTGAGAAAGAAATAGTAAAAGAAAGAATAAATTTGAAAAAAAAAAAAAAGTACGAGCAAAAACACAAAGAGCACCCGAGGGGAGGGGGGGGGGGGGGGCAGGCTTACCGGTTCCCCCAGAGTCGTGGGACTAGCTCCTTCTTCAGTCTACCGTTGCCCAGCAGAAACAGAGGGAACAACAGAATTACACACACACACCTCCCAGCCCACAGCTCCACATTCACTAATGTAACGTCCAGCGTCTGGCCCATCAGCCACGGGTTTACTCAGTACTACACCGACCGCTGTTACCATCACCGTCCGACCAAAGGGTTGATCTCATGCTACTCTGGTTGCACATGTACTGCAGTCAAATACTTTTATACTACACACACATACCTTTATTCAATGACAATATCAGTCACGCAGAAAAAAGATTGAATTTTAAATTGAAGGTCAGTGAAGTTATGAAGCTGTAAATGTGTCGACCTGATCTACAGGAAGAGGGCGCTGCAGAAAACTTTGGGAACCGCTGAACTAAAGAATGATATGAAGATGTCACCATGAATAACTCAAAATGATGCTTTTTTTTTTACAGCAGACACATGAAAATGTATCGGAATTTTTGACTATTTTCTATATTTATAACAGTGTTTCCCAACTTTATTCAAACCACGCCACATATTTTACATTAGAAAATCCCCACAGTGAACCACCAAATCAAAAATATCCCAAAAAGGATATGAAGAAAAATATAATTATATTATAGTTTCAATTTATTCGCTCAGTGTGAAACTGGGGCCTGTTTAGTTGAACACAGCGCTCTGACACACACAGAAGGTGAAGTTTTTATAGGCATCTGCTGCCACCTAGTGGAAAACCACCCCCATCTCCACTCTCCCTCAGTGCAGGTTTTTTTCCAGGAACTGTAGCAGCAAAGCAACACACTATGACGTTTGAAAAAAGTACGGGAAAAGTACATGAAACCGATGGAGGGGTATAAGTACACACTGATACTACTTCATCTGTTGGTTTACACACCCAGTACTGCAGAGCTGTCAATTGTTCTTAAATAAGAAAGTAAAAACTTCCCGAATATTTTGCCTAGTACCGAAGATGAGTTCAAATTAGCATCGGAGGTCGTTAGCATGAAGGGATAAGAAAAGGTGTCAAAAGGTCATTAGCATGAAGGGATAAGAAAAGGTGTCATGTGACATGTTGGTGCAAATGATCAAAATAATGAATGAAACAACCTGCAGGTCTGCTCATCACTCACCCTCACTCTGCTGACTCCCAGCACTCCCACTGTGGAAACTGTGGCACGGGTCAGAGTATCCTGGTGGGAAACTTGGAGGTGCAGAGGGGAAAGGTGGGTAGGGGAACGGCTGTCCGCCCAGTGGCCAAGGGTTGGTAGTGGGAGGAAGCGGTGCCAGAGTGTCCTGCTCAGAGCCCCCACCACTGGATCCTTCATTTAAATTAAGTGATGCCATGTCTTATCGGAGAAAAACAAACAACAACGTTTTCATTTCAAAGACCAGACTGGCAGAGATTGGTCAAAGACACACTGAGAGCAGTGGCAGTACTTTGGCAGAGGTCTCCAAAGGTGTAGTAGCACTGTTCAGAGAAGGTGATCTTGTTGACGGTGTGTCTCAGGTAGCCGTGCTTCAGCAGACTGCTAGCATACTTCCTGGCGTCTCGGCGGTCCTTGAATCCCTCTACTCTGGAGTAGAGCCAGTCTACCACGTCAGCACCTGACATGAAACACACACATGAAAAAAAACAAAACAGTAAAGATCTGCAGACTCCTACAACACAGAAGGACTTGCTTGGACGTCACTTGGACGTCACTGTGGTCACTTGAACGTCACTTGGAGGTCGCTTGGACGTCACTTTTTCTTAAAATTTTCCAAAGAATTTTTTTTTCTAAAAATTTTTTTCTTAAAAAAAAAAGAAAAAATTTTTTTTCTAAAAAAAAAAATTTTTTCAAAAAAAAAATTTTCTAAAAAAGAATTTTTTTCAAAAAAAATTTTCTAAAAAAAAATATTTTTTCTAAAAACTTGAGGTTGCTTGGACGTCACTTGGAGGTCACTTGGAC